ACGGCATTGGCGGATTCGGCGGTGGAGTGCTCGGTGGTGTCCACGGAGGTGTCCTGGTGGTGTTCACCCCATCGGAGGTGTCCATGGAGGTGGCGTCCATGGCCTAGGACTCGTAGGATCTGGCATCCACGGCGCTGGATCCTTCAACACCGCTCATTACCCTGGTCTTGTGCCTGGTTACAGCTTCTACGACCAAAGACCCGTGCTCGGATACAACAGCTGCAGGTATTAGTGCGAGTCATTACACCAGCATGTACTATTGCTTTCAACCTTACGAAAGATAGACTCAAAATTTTGAAAACTTTATGTTATTGTTAAAGCATCAAAAATATAAAAGTTATTTTCACTCTTTTTGATGTTATATCCCTCTTTCCTTTATCAGGCTCTGCAAACTCATCCGTATTTTCAAAAATTCACCTGCACATAAACTGTACATAAACAGACAGCCAGACAAATAATGTTTATATCTATGCGTAAAAGCTCAAAGTTGCATGACGTGCGATTCGACTGAATATTTCGAGATACTCACGTGAACATTTTACACTTTGTAACGAATCATTTTTATGTAACAAATGTGAAGAAAGGATTTTGAAATTCCACAGATCATATTACCTTTATTAATTTATGTCTGAGTACTAAATCAAATTCAGATTTTTTTTTTCTTTTTCTTTTTTTTACTTTACTCATTTTTAAGGTAGTTTCATTGCCTCGCGTTGCGACTAAAACATTTTGTCTTTATCATAAACATTTTATCAACAAAATGTTTATGATAAAAATAGGATTCGGAAATAAATTTCTCTTTCCCTGCCATTCTTCCTTCGCTTTCTAAGACTGCCAGTCAACATTACCCATTTTAACTGAAACCCGTATGATATTCACCTAACCATAACCGGGAAGTGAGGTTACTGAAGATTTAACATTATTAAAAGGCAAGACATTAACATGTATCTAAAATGTTACCAGAAGTTGAAGATTTAATTCTCTGAATAAGAACACCAGAATTAGTTGGATCTTAAGACGCCAATTATGAATACGGCAGCAAGTGTCTTAGTTAAAGCTCGCCAATTCTATTTTCGATCCACGTGATTTCACTGTAAGTTCTGAATAAACGTGTGCTGCCTTCGTAACATCACACGCCTTCCCTCCGGACGCTCCTCTGAGTAAGGATAGACGATCTAGATTCTAGACTCAAAATAGTAGCGACGAATACATAAATTTTTACAAGACACAGACGTTTGTGTTCACGGCTGTGTTTTTACAGGAATCCTAATACATACACACACACATACACACACACACACACACACACACACACACACACACACACACATATATATATATATATATATATATATATATATATATATATATATATATATATATATATATATTATTATCTATATATTGTGTAACAGTTAAAAGGATTGAAAGGTTTATATTTGTTTTTATCATACGTTACTTTATACTCAAATTCATATATACGAATAATCTCATTTTATCTACGTAAAATTTCCCATATACTCAACAGTTTCATATATTAACCATCAGGATAGCTTATTTAAGTGAGAAAATGTATATAGTGTAGGTGACCATCGCTCTATTTTCCTCTACACTAGCCTCAATATTTGCCTAACGTAGCACCTATAGCAGTGCCATAGAATGACTTCTATGTAAAACTTTGGTGCTATGGACTTTCCAGCTATTCCTATCGGGGAACGCTTAAATTTCTTTTTATCTATCTCTATCTGCCTGTATACCATTCAGTCTATTCATCTATCTTTACCTACCTATCTTTTGGGTGTCTATCCAGCCAGATAATGAAAGGGTTAAAGCTCATTCAGAGATGAGAAGTGCGTGGGAAAATCAGATAAGCGGGCTTTTCCAGACTAAGCTACTCACCTGCAATATTTGATTACGTCATCAAAAGTTGCCAAGTTCTTCCCACATTCAGTCATTTATATGATTTTTTGATTTTATTTTTATTTGTTTATTTTTAGATTTAATGTACAAAAACATCTTATTAAAATTCAAATATATGATTTATTTTATGATAGCTTGAGATATAAGTTCTCCTTCTTAGCAAACAATAGAAAAGTAATGAACGTTGGCAACACTTCACTCGCGCCTGGAGTTCCCTGGGCGAGAGTTGAAGGCGATGCGGGTACGTATATAAGGAGGCGCCGTCAATGAATGCTCAGAGTGCAGCTTCCAGCTGAAGTTCAAGTAAGTCACTACCATAACGAACTCATATATTTCATTAAAAGTTCGAATCTGATTGGGTGTCATAGTACGGTTGTGTAATATTAATAATTAATGTATATTTCTTTTCTTCTCAGGATGGCTCGTAACGTGGCAGTGACCTCCCTCATCGTGGCTCTGTGCCTCGTGGCAGCAGTTGCTGGACACAGCAGGTACGGCATTGGCGGATTCGGCGGTGGGGTGCTCGGTGGTGTCCACGGAGGCGTCCACGGAGGTGTCCTTGGTGGTGTTCACGGCGGTGCCCTCGGAGGTGTCCATGGAGGTGGCGTCCATGGCCTAGGACTCGTAGGCTCTGGCATCCACGGCGCTGGATCCTTCAACACCGCTCATTACCCTGGTCTTGTGCCTGGTCACAGCTTCTACGACCAAAGACCCGTGCTCGGATACAACAGCTGCAAGTACTGGTGCAAGAGTCATTACACCAACAAGTACTACTGCTGCCAACAACCTTACCAAGGATAGAATTCTTCAGTGATAATCATTTATGTTAATCGTCTGTTATAGTACCACTAATATTGTTTACTCAAAAATAAAACTTATTTTAGTTACATTTTTTCATATTATTTCTCATACTCCTGTTTCTGCAAATTTTCATAAACTTACATTTTCAAAATTACATACACTTATTACATACAAATGAATGTATATACAACTTTAGATACATAAATATATACATCACATATATTTGCAAATATGTATGTATACATACACGTATAATATATACATATATACATATGCAAATGTATGTATAATGCCGGCATATATATGCATATATATATATATATATATATATATATATATATATATATATATATATATATATATATATATATATATATATGCATACATACATAAACACCCAAACAAAGAACCTGCGATTTTTGCTTTATTGTATTCGATTTTTTTTTTTCTTTTCTTTTCTTTTCTTTTCTTTTTTTTTTTTTTTTTTTTTTTTTAGATTCGTACCCAAAAATCGGAACAGTAAACACAGATGATCATAGATTGGGGTGCTTTCACAGAAATGCAATGCTACTAATTATCATTAAGCCAAAGGTCAAGCAACTTTCGGTTTTAATTTCATGTTGGTTTACGTACGAACATTCTTATATTGTAAATACGCATGTAATTATCTATTTCAGATGGCAAACTTATAATGATAAATCAATAAATGCGTCAGGATGTTATCCCTATACATGTACATACGCATATACATACATATGTCTGTGTGTGTGTCTGTGTGTGTGTATGTATATATATATATATATATATATATATATATATATATATATATATATATATATATATATGTGTGTGCGTGTGTGTGTTAGGGTATACATACCTATATATGTATATATGTGTGTGTGTGTGTTTGTACATACATATATATATATATATATATATATATATATATATATATATATATATATATAATATATTACTCATATATATGCAAATATGTATTTATGTATATATGCATGTATATATGCATATCTATATTCATATATATACATATATATACATATGTATATGTGTATGTATATATATGCACATATATATATATATATATATATATATATATATATATATATATGTATGTATGTATGTATTATATATGTATATATATATATATATATATATATATATATATATATATATATATATATATATTATATTATATATAAATATATACATATGTGTGTGCATATATGTTTGTATATATATATACATATATGTATATATATATATATTCAGACACATATATACATATATATAGCAATGCATATATGTATAAATACATATGTATGTTTGTTTATATATATATATATATATATATATAGAGAGAGAGAGAGAGAGAGAGAGAGAGAGAGAGAGAGAGAGAGAGAGAGAGAGAGACAGAGAGAGAGAGTTAGAGAGAAAGATATTGTTTAGCTGACATAAACAAGTTGAAATCTTCGATATGATTTCGAATCAATTCATTCTTACAAAATACTGTAAAATCTCTCTTTTTCAGGCCCCATCCCACTCCCGCCTCTCTTTCACTCTCAATAAGCATCTTGCTAATGCGCCAAACGGGGATCTGTGTTCTTTCCGGGCAATGGTGTCGGGGAAATCCTCTACAGAAGCGTCACTCTGTATGTTTGTTTCTCTCTTTGCCTCTCCGTCTTTCGATATATCTAAATGTACATAAATAGAAACATATACATATCAAAATATATTTATATGATATTGTAATATACATATATGACACACACATAGACACATACACACGCGCGCGCACGCCGAGCGCACTCCCACACACACACAGTCACACACACACACACAGTGTGTTATATAATATAGATAGATATAGATATATACACACACATATCGGCGCTTATTGATATCAACTTTTCATCTCTGGAATATTTCGAATCTGGCAACCGGATCCCTCATTCCCACAAATATAAAATAAAAAGATTGGTAAATAGATAGATTACAGTGTCTGATTTCGATACCTGGATTTATCAGTGATCATCATACTAATATTCAGGAAAATTTCGCTTGACAATTTTTTCCAGACTCCGCTGTTTCTCAGAAGCTTTGATGACGTCACTAGAGATTCGCTAATATTGCAGTATTCATTTTTTGTGATGAATAAGTCTCACTGACTATCTAACGAAAATATTTCCCTGTGAGGTTTAAAAGGAATCTCTTTTTTTTACACAGGAAATGCCTTTAAAAATAAACTAGTAGTGCCATCGGAAGGGTAATAAAAGAAAAATAAATGAACGCTGGCAACATCCCGCTCCCGCCTGGACTTCCCTGGGCAGGCGATGAGAGGACGTATAAAGCGACGCGCTCTCAGTGCATGCTCAGAGTGCAGCTTGCAATTGAAGTTACAGTAAGTCACTACTCATTCCATTGATATATCAGTTTATATCACTATATATTTTCTATATCAGATACAACACTTAGAGACTTCTTCAGATTAATTATAGAATAAAATTAACGCCTTTTTTCTCACTCAAGATGGTTCGCAACGTGGCAGTGACCTCCCTCCTCGTGGCTCTGTGCCTCGTGGCAGCAGTTGCTGGACACAGCAGGTACGGCATTGGCGGATTCGGCGTGCTCGTGTCCACCCTGTGCGTGTCCACGGAGGTGTCCGTGTTCATCGGAGGTGTCCATGGAGGTGGCGTCCATGGCCTAGGACTCGTAGGCTCTGGCATCCACGGCGCTGGATCCTTCAACACCGCTCATTACCCTGGTCTTGTGCCTGGTCACAGCTTCTACGACCAAAGACCCGTGCTCGGATACAACAGCTGCAAGTACTGGTGCAAGAGTCATTACACCAACAAGTACTACTGCTGCCAACAACCTTACCAAGGATAGGCTTAGAATTCCTCACCGAAATGTATTTATTTGTTCTGTTATATTGCTTAAAGTGGTTTATTGTTCCTCAAGAATAAAAGTTATTTTGATGACTCCGTTTATCTGATTACCTTTCATATCACACTTTTTAACTACCATATCCTGAGAACTCATACGTATATATATATATATATATATATATATATATATATATATATATTCACATAAGAAGACAGATAATTAACCCACGCACACACATATGTACATATAAAGTAGTGTATACTCAGCTAACCACGAGATACGACTTGCAGTGCGACTTAACATATTCGAGCGTTCACATGGTCCTTTTAACCAATTAATGAAGATGATTTAGAACCCGCTGAGTCTATGACCGGAGCTATATGGAATATAAAGAAATAATAGATTATATATGCAAAAGCTAAATATACTTTGAAAAAAATCGGTTTCTATGTCCCTCTGTATATTACAGAGAAAATATATATACCTCTTCGGATTACATATAGTATAAAAATATTGAGAGAAAGGTTCGACCGGCTTGTAACGTGGCAGTGACCTCCCTCCTCGTGGCTCTGTTGTTCGTGGCAGTTGCTAGATACAGCAGATATGGCATTCGAAAACATAGACCTCTTGTCCACGGCAGTGAAGTGCTCGGTGGTGTCCACGGAGGTGTCCACGGAAGTGTCCTTCGTGGCTCTGTGCCTCGTGGCAGCAGTTGCTGGACACAGCAGGTACGGCATTGGCGGATACGGCGGTGGGGTGCTCGGTGGTGTCCACGGAAGTGTCCTTGGTGGTGTTCACGGCAGTGCCATCGGAGGCGTCCATGGAGGTGGCGTCCATGGCCTAGGACTCGTAGGCTCTGGCATCCACGGCGCTGGATCCTTCAACACCGCTCATTACCCTGGCCCTTTGCCTGGTTACAGCTTCTGCGATCAAAGACCCGTGCTCGGATACAACAGCTGCAAGTACTGGAGTCATTACACCAGCATGTACTACTACTATCAACCTTACGAAGGATAGACTCAAAATTTGAAAACTTTACTTTTATTGTTAAAGCATCAAAAAGAATAATATTATTTTCACGACTCCTTTTGATGTTATATCCCTCTTTCCTTTATTAGGCTCTGCAAACTCATCCTCATATTCAAATATTCACATGCACTTAAACTGTACATAAACAGACAGCCAGACGGATAATGTTTATGTTTATACGTAAAAGCTCAAAGTTATACTGTAGCGTTTGCTAATTAATATACGTACCTGGCTCTTTGAAGAGGTGTAAAGCTACCTACCACCCCGATTAATACGTTCAGGAACGAGTGTTCTGTGTCTGAAAGGATCCTGTGCCAAAAGAATAGTGGAAAGGAGCGATAGTAGTGTATGTATGTGTGTGTGGTGTCGTTGTGGAAATGAGCTGAAGGGAGGGTAAGCGTGGTTGGCATCCCGAGGAGGGGCGTGTATAGATGCTTTATCTATACTTTAGGGTTTTAGATTGTTTGCTCTTTCAAAACATTAAAATATATTAAGGTCGTGTTCAGCCTTCCTTCTTAGAAGGGTCGGGGACTTAGCAAAAACTACATAAAATGAGCTATTTATTTCGTAAAAGCAAAAAAAAAAAAAAAAAAAAAAAAAAAAAAAAAAAAAAAAAAAAAAAACACACAATAAAACACAAACACAGTAAAACAAACACTAAAACACAAACAAAAACACAAGCACTATAGCACGACATTGACATAAAACACAGTAAACACAAGCACTATTAAAAATGAAATAAATAAAATAGAGAACCACCTTTTCTCATGTATACACAGTATCTTCATCACTTAGCTCTCTATTGCCTCGACCACCTTTCCTTCGCACCACAACCTCGTGAGTCCAGCCCTGGAACCTGGGACTCTGGAACTCCCGTGCGCGGGGCCGGGAACTTTCCCTTGTCACCTCGGCCCGCGAAACAATATTGGTTCTCTTGGGGTTTGTAAAAGAAAAAAAAATACAAAATCATTAAAATAGCTTTTCCATATTCATTAAAATAGTCCTTAAAGTTCCATTTATAAAATAGATTAAAAAAAAAAACTTCCATGAAATAAAATAGTAAAATGAGAAACGAGAACCATGATGTAGTGTATAAAAATGTATAATAAAAATAAAAGTTCATAAAATGTTCAATATAGAATATACTGCAAAGTTTCAAAATAGGAATCATAAAAAGTATTTAAGAGTATTATAGATCATAGGATATGTTTCTTGATTCATTTTCTCGGTCTTTTCTTTCGGTATAAGGCTCATTATAAACACAACGTAAAAATGTTTATCAAAATATCACTTAAAACAATAAAACATAAAACATGAAAACATAAAAGAAAAACGAATTCAGCGAAGCCGCGCAGGTGAGTCACTCCGGGTAGCTTCCCGTTTTCTATGACCCGCAGCCTCCTCCCCGCGACGAGCATCCTCACCCCCGGGGGATAAACACAGGGGTTGCGAACGATCCCGGAGACGGAGGAAGACGCGACCTCCGCCGTGGAGCGAGGGTGGATGTCGCGCTTCATCTCGAAAGGGACGGGGAAGAAAGACGCTTGCAGGGGACCGCTGGGAGCAGATGCAGGCGGTCCGCTACAACACGACGTGCAGTTCGACTGAATATTTCGAGATACGTGAACATTTTTATGTAACAAATGTGAAGAAAGGATTTTGAAATTCCACAGATCATGTTACCGGAGTTGAAAGATTAAAGGAAAGAATGAATTTATCTCTAAGAGTACTAAATCAAATTCAGAAGAAAAAAAAAATCTCTCTCTACTTATCTTAGCGGTTTCATTGCCTCGTGTTACGACTAAAACATTTTGTCAACAAAATGTTTATGATAAAGATAAGATTCGGAAATAAATTTCTCTTTCCCTGCCATTCTTCCTTCACTTTCAAAGACTGCCAGTCAACATTACCCATTTTAACTGAACCCCGTATGATATTCATGTAACCATAATTGGGAAGTGAGGTTACTAAAGAATTTACTAAAATGGAAGGCCTTAACATGTATCTCTAAAATGTTACCAGAAGTTGAAGATTTAATTCTCTGAATAAGAACAGAATTAGATGAATCTTAAGACGCCAATTATGAATACGGCAGCAAGTATCTTAGTTAAGGTTCGCCAATTCTATTTTCGATCCACGTGATTTCACTGTAAGTTCTGAATAAACGTGTGCTGCCTTCGTAATATCACACGCCTTCCCTCCAAACGCTCCTCTGAGTAAGGATAAACGATCTAGATTCTAGACTCAAAATAGTAGCGACGAATACATAAACTTTTACAAGACACAGACGTTTGTGTTCACGGCTGTTTTTACAGGAATTCTAATACATACACACATAATTTATATATAGATAGATAGATAAATAATTATTTATACATTGTGTAAAAGTTAAAAGGGTTTAAAGTTTATATTTGTTTTTATCATACGTTACTAACTCAAATTCATATATAGGAACAATCTCATTTTATGTACTCGTAAATCCCTTGTCTACGTAAAATTTCCCATATACTCAACAGTTTCATATAATAACCAAAACAGATCCATCAGGATACCATATTTAAATGAAAAAATAATGTATATAGTGTAGGTGACCATCGCTCTATTTTCCTCTACACCGGCCTCAATATATGCCTAACGTAGCACCTAAAACAGTGTTATAGAATGACTTCTACGTAAAACTTTGGTGCTATGGACTTTCCAGCTATTCCTATAGGGGAACGCTTAAATCTGTTTATCTCTGTCTGCCTGTATACCATTCAGTCTATTCATCTATCTTTACCTACCTATCTTTATCCAGCCAGATAATGAAATGGTTAAAGCTCATTCAGAGATAAGTGCGTGGGAAAATCAGATAAGCGGGCTTTTCCAGACTGAGCTACTCACCTGCAATATTTGATTACGTCATCAAAAGTTGCCAAGTTCTTCCCACATTCAGTCATTTATATGTTTTTTTTTTTTTTTGTTTGTTTGTTTATTTTTAGATTTAATGTACAAAAACATCTTATTAAAATTCAAATATATGATTTATTTTATGATAGCTTGAGATATAAGTTCTCCTTCTTAGCAAACAATAGAAAAGTAATGAACGTTGGCAACACTTCACTCGCGCCTGGAGTTCCCTGGGCGAGAGTTGAGGGCGATGCGGGTACGTACATAAGGAGGCGCCGTCAATGAATGCTCAGAGTGCAGCTTCCAGTTGAAGTTCAAGTAAGTCACTACCATAACGAACTCGTATATTTCATTAAAAGTTCGAATCAGATTAGATGTCATAGTACGGTTGTGTAATATTTATAATTAATGTAGATTTCCTTTCTCCTCAGGATGGTTCGCAACGTGGCAGTGA